TCACATAAAAACCATAAATGTATTTCTCAACCTCAGGCCACATTTCAATAACCTGTTAATCTGTAAGAACACATAACAAAAGCAAAACCTGATACGACAAACCATGAACCAAGGATTCACACATCACGCATTGCGACATAACGCACTAAACAAATCCATAAACCACCTGCACAAAACGAGAATTTCAAACCTGCACCAGCTCTCTCCAACTTTGTTAACCTACCCAGCCATTCATATCATGATAGGGTATCTTGTCAAATCCACAATGTAAAACCTATACCAAAACAATCCTTCATTATGCACCAAGCTACCCCACCTTCAAAACCTTGCCAAGCCTCACCATTACTTGCAACGTCATGCAGAACGCGTGAAAAATGGGACCCCACAACACGATTCACAGCCATCTGTAACTTTTGCCAGCGATTATATCACGCATCATATGAAGCACCTTATTTACAAAACCTGCAGACACAATAATTATGCAGCATGACCCCATAAACTTTCCATAATTCACAAATGCAACACACGACCTCAAGAGGACGAACGATACGCACCAAGAAACAAATTTTACAGCAGACCACAACAAATTCTTCATTTTTTTAATTCCCCAATTCACCTCATTCCTCTCCCACATATAAAGACCAAAATTCTTCCTTCATTTCTTGACAACCAAATTTTTTTATCTCCATAACTCTTCAACAAACCTTACCTTCCTCCATTCTTCCCTTCTCATTCAACACAACCCATAAACCATAAACAAACAATAAAAAAACCCACGAATCAGAACCAGAAAATTAAGATGAAGAGAGATTCAACGAAATCCAACAAAACCCCAAATCAACAACCATTCTGAATCAAAATAGAAAAGAGAAGAGGGAGAGTGGTCGAACCAAACCTGAAACTTGAAGCGAGTTCGAGAACGAGACGAAATGCAAACCGGAAGGTTGGAACGAGATTTCTTTCAATTCTCTCCCTTTTCTTCCCTTTTGAACACAATGGTTCTTTTACTTTTATTCTAAAATTGATTTTGATTTTGTGTTACTTTACCTTGTTTCCTTCTCAAACCCTGTTCATTCTTGTGTCAATTACTTTGTTTTTCTTAATCTAACATTGGGTTAGTGATGTTGTTGTTGTTGTTGTCTTTTTATGATCCATGTTGTTGGACAATGGGCCTTGATGAGCCCGTGACCAAATTCTATTGCACACTTACCCTTTTTTTCTTTGACAATCTACCCTACTTTCTTTAACCGTGTGGTTATAAATGGGCTTAAAGCCTGTGATATTGATTACTAGCACACTATACACACACCAATTGATCTGTTCACACCCTCCCCTTCCTTTATTTATTTTTTCTTTTCCTCTATTTCTTCTTTTGTTTTTGCTCAACATTTTTCTTAAATTCTAATTTTGTTAATATGTTTTGCTTAGAAATCATTGTTGATTTTCATTATTTTTTATTTATTTCATCTCATTAAGATTTCTTTTTGTCCTTGTTTTTTTTTCATTTTGGTCAATGAAGTCTTTAGAATCATACATATTGATTATTGAAGTTGTTAACCTTAATTATTTCAAATATGTAATGAATGATCATTAAGATCATTTTCTATACTTTGAGATCGTTATAGGTTACCTTCAATTAATCGAAAAAAGTTTGTGATTAAGACGAGACCGTCCTCTTTTTCTTTTCGTGTGGCACGATTTGTTGAGAACGATTCACCATATCGTTTCTCTATCGTGTTTTAGCACAAATAGCATTTTTGCGCGACCTTCTATAGCATGATCTTCTTCATAGATCGTGCTACGATGGTTTAGCGATATAGTGGACCCGATTCATCCGAACAATCAACGATTAACAACTAACTTTAATTTCCGTTCCATATACTCTTACTTTATTTTTCGTCAATATATCTTGTTCATGTTATTGATATTATCTTGCTCATCATATTATTCATATCATATTCATATTATTCATATATTATGCATCTAACCCTTTTTCTTGTTAATCTTATTCGAAAACACAAAAACAATATAAAACTATCGAAACCCTAAAAACATTCAATTGGTGGACTGTTGGTTACTATTCTGAGCAATGGAGTTTGGACTGTGTACAGAAACCCTAGCAAAGGAGATTTTGTCTGACTCTTGTTCGTGGCTTAGTTTAGGATACCTCGCACACACACGAGTTCCTCTTGGGCTACCTGACAATGACCCCATTTATTTCTCACAATCCCGTGTAACTTACATGTACCCCGCTCTGATTCTGATGTACGCACTTTATTCTCTTTTTTATTGTGGTTTTGTTTACTATGAGCACCCCTAGAGATTACCAGAGACCAAACCATTTTGAAACTAGTTCTCGATTCGTTGTCGAGCCAATTTTCAAAACACCCTTGTAAGCCGATTTCTCTTTGGCATCACCATCTACCTAATGCACACGCTCGCATATTTCTTCGTGGTTTCGTTACTAAGAGCACCCCTAGGGACTAGGATAGATTCTCACCTCTTTTCGTAAACCATCGATTCGTTGTCGAGCCATTTTCAAAGCAAACTTTTAAGTCGAGTGCCTTTTGCCTCGCAATCAATATCTTTCCTAACCAAGCGCAAACACAATTAAACCCTTGATTCAACATCAAGTGGATTTTTCTCAATCAAACTTCAAAACACATAATAACTGTCGAAACTCTTTTCAAGGTGAAAGGGAGGGGGATCGAGTCTTCGATATTTTTCTCAGTTGTTTGGTTTCTAGTTCTCTTACTCGTGTGTGAGCAATTGACACCTTTAAAAAACATTTAACTCGAAAACATTCAAACCATTTTTGCAAGCTCTCGTCGTTCAAAACACTTAACAAATATCAAAACACAATCTCTTTTCAAGGTGAAATGGAGGGGTATGGAGTCTTCTATCTTTTTTCTCACTTGTTTGGGTGCAAGTTCTCTTACTCGTTGTAAACAATTGTCACCTCTAAATCAAACCAGCTCAGTCGTAGTTCCACGAACTACGAACGATTTAATTCTCCATTCTCGTCTGAATGAAGATACGTAGGCACACAAGATTGCGATGATCCTGGCGATAAACCTTCTTCTTTTTCCATTGTTTCCTACCTTCTTTCTTTTCCATCTTTTGAATCAACCTTTCCTCTACCTTCCAGCTTTTTCTTTGCTACCTTTTGTTTTTTCCGCCTTTCACTACCTTCTTTCTTTTCTATCTTTTGTGTCAACCTTTCTGCTACCTCTTCTTTTTTCCATATTTTTCGTCCAAAATTTTCCCGTAATCAAACTACGAGCGCTCTAATTCCTCATTCTCGTACAAATGAGCATATGTAGGCACAAGGGTCCCAATCCTAAAACCACATATTTCCCCTTAGCATCGAACCCTTTATCGTACATTTTCACTTTATCTCGTTTAGAAGAAAACAAATAAGCCTAACTAACATTCATCACAATTCAAACTAAGAGGTTCTCGTTGAGTACAACGGACGTGAGGTGGTGCTAATACCTTCCCCTCATGTAACTGACTCCCGAATCCAGAATGTGGTTGCGATGGTCGTGTTTTTATCTCATTAAAGGTTTTCTCGATATTTTTTTTCCCTCTTTTGGGATAAATAAAATTCGGTGGCGACTCTTTTGGTTGATTTTTACTTTGCCTATTTGAGAATCTTCTAGAAAACACTATGATCTTGGCGAGCAACCTTCTTCTTTTTCCATTGTTTCCTACCTTCTTTCTTTTCCATCTTTTGTGTCAACCTTTCCTCTACCTTCTAGCTTTTTCTTTGATACCTTTTGTTTTTTCCGCCTTTCGCTACCTTCTTTCTCTTCTATCTTTTGCGTCAACATTTCCGCTACCTTTTCTTTTTTCCATCTTTTACATCCAAACCTTTTTCCGTAGTCAAACTACGAGCACTCTGATTCCTCATTCTTGTACAAATGAGCATACGTAGGCACAAGGGCCCCAATCCTTGGCGAGTACCCAATCCTAAAACCCTTTATCGTACCTTTTCTCTTATCTCTTTAAAGGTTTTCTCGATATTTTCATTTTCCCTCTTTTGGGATAAATATAGTTCGGTGGCGACTCTGTCGAACCAAAATTTCTTCCGCGCCTTTTGCGTGAGGATCGTATTTTTGATTATGTTTTTTTTCGAGATGTGACACCGAGTCACGTTAAAAGCTACCATTGTTGACTATTGCATAAGTAAATGATGATTGAATCGGCTAACAAAAACGATTGCAACGACGTAACAGAAGAAATCAAAGAATTCAAATGTGGAATTTTGTGAGAATCAAGAAACGATTCTCATATACGACACCATTATTTCAATGTGGAACATGAAATTGGTAATGAATTGGTGAAGTTCATAGTGGAAGGTCTCTGGTACGGTGGTAGAAATCTCTGATAGATAAAGAGGGGGTGTACCTGCAGGATTAATACTCTGATGCATAAATTAATGAATTTTAAAAGAAGGAACTTACAAGCGTGAAAAAATGGACCATTTCTTGTGTGACACGAAGCTTAGACGATGATTAGAACCACCATCAATGAATGTAGTGTCTTGTATATAAGACCGTTGGATGGATTTTAAATAGTTGAGTTGGATGTCAAGTATGACTTCGATACCCGACTTTTAGTGAGGTTACACCTATTCAATGAGTCTCTGTAGACAAAACTTTATATTTAGCGGTTTTATTGAACCATTTGCTTTATAAATGATAGAAAGCAATTATTTTTAAGCTGAAAAACGAGAATTACATTCCTTTTAAAATGGAAGAAGTATTTCATACTATCCAAACTGCTATCTTCTCACTCTTTTTCTATATATAGTATAGGCTGCGCCGATGGATGCATGCATTGTGAGTATTGACAGCAAAGCTTTTTAAGTTGTCAAAATTGTCTTCCCTTCCCATTGTATATTTAATTTAGTCAACAATATAAACACACACGCAAAGACGATCAATTTTCTTATAACAAACACTTAATCTCCTTCCTCGGAGACCAACTTCAACACCATGCGACCACAACTCAACCTCCTAGTTACGTTAATCACCCTGTTCCACTCATGGAACAGCTTCCTTGTCACACAAGCTGATCCTCAAACACGTTTAATCAACAAAGGTTGTAGCCAATACAACGCAACCAACTTGTCCAATTTCTACCAAAATCTAAACGCAACTTTATCAGACTTGAACTCACAGGTGGGGAATGAAAACAAGCATTTTGCGACGGCACAATCCGCCAAAGGAGCAAACCCTGTTTATGCTTTCTTTCAGTGCAGGAATTACCTCTCTGATTCTGATTGCGCCGCTTGCTTCACCGTCGCCGCCGCACAAATCCGTAATTGCTCTGCTGGTTCAAACGGTGCTCGTGTTATTTACGATGGTTGCTTCCTTAGGTACACCTCCACCTGATCTTTCTTTAATTATATATTATATTATTGTATTACTATTACAACTATATTTTTTATGATAAGGTTGATATGTTGAATGATCATGTATTCACATTCACACACAAGTTCAAAGAAAATGATATTGATTAGTTAATTATCATTATTTTTTGTCAGGTTAATGATTTGTTAATTATCAACAATAACTGCCGGCCGTGCACCGTAGAAATAATGATAGTTTATGGAATGATTAGGACTCAATTGCTAATTAAAGAGTGGTAAAATTATGGAATTGAGATTGCATTTATTGGAGAGGCACTATTAAGCTTAAGATATGAGTCCTAAGCATTATTTGGATTGTAGACGATTTCACTAATAACTGAATAGTAGTATTACAAAATTAACAATTTTATTTTACTTAAAAGTAAAAAAAAATAAGCAAAAAAACAAGAATATCAATATTTCTTTAGGAAGAAAAAAAGGAATATATATGATGTAGTAGTGCTACTAGTTGACCCCTATGATGATTTTAATTTGACAAGTTCAGACGTGCAACGTTAATGCTAAGGTGTGTGTCACTATTGGGCGATGAATGAGAAATATGGTGACTATTAGTCAACTCCTTCTATTTTAACCCCTTAGTTTATTTTACAAAAGATTGTAATATAAAACAATGAATAGAAATAAAGAGATATTTTAATGCGAGAGGTAGAAAAAATATATTAAAATAAAATTCTTGTAAATAATAATAAATATTATATTTTTAAAAATATTATAACAAATAAATTGAATTAAAGAAAAGTTAAATCCTTCAAATTCAAATCATATTATTACAATACTCTTAAAATTAAAAATATACATCAACAAATTATTTTTCTTTGCTCTCTTTCAAATTCTCAATATGACGCTCCAAGTTTTGAGATGATAATATCAGGTACGAGAGCAATGGATTCTTCGACCAAACAACTCTTCCTGGAAACAGTATGATTTGTGGAACTCAAACAGCAAATGGAGCAGCTGCTTTTACTGCAGCTGCACAACAAGTCCTACTGAATCTACAGACAGCCACACCCAAAATTCCTGGTTTCTTTGCTGCTACAAAGACACCTGTTTCTGGAACTGGAAATGAAATATATGCCATTGCACAATGTGCTGAATCAGTTACTCAAAGTGGCTGTTTAGATTGCTTGACAGTTGGATTCAACAACATACAGAGCTGTTTTCCTAATACAGATGGTAGAGCATTTGATGCTGGTTGTTTTATGAGATACTCAGAAACATCTTTCTTTGCTGATAACCAGACCACTGATATTACACCCTTTCTAAAACAAGGTAAAGTTAGACTACTTTCTTTACTCTCTTGCACCAACACCTCTGGAAAAATGCGTGTTTGTGTCTGTATTAGTGTGTTAACCACCAGCACTAACACTTGTGATTATGTTCAGTTTATTAATTTTTTTAAATTATTACCAATGTCGACATGTCAGTGTCGATGATATGTCTGGTGTCCGTGTTTGTGTGCATGTGCTTCTTAACTAATGAGGTTAAGTGTGGTTTCGTATCTTAAGGTTCAAGTAATAAAGGAGCGATTATTGGTGGTATTGTTGGAGGTGTAGCCCTTATTGTGATCATCCTCATTGCACTATTTGTTTGGCTTAGGCTCTACAAGAAACCCAAGAGACATCATAGAGGTGAGATATTTTGGAAAATCTTTGAATCCATGATCGGGATTTCTTGCGAAAGAAGATACAATATTCATGATTATGTTTTCCTTATCAGGTGACATATTAGGAGCAACTGAGTTGAAAGGTCCACTTACTTACCGATATAACGATTTGAAGTCCGCAACGAAAAATTTTAACGACGAAAATAAACTAGGAGAAGGAGGTTTTGGAGATGTATACAAGGTATATATCTATATACTTAGTTATTTTTCGATTTTTTTGTTTACTTTCTATTATATGTTCACAAGCATGAATGATTTTTGTCAATATTGGACAGGGAACTCTGAAAAATGGTAAAGTAGTTGCTGTCAAGAAATTGATTTTAGGTCATTCCGGGAAGATGGATGAACAATTTGAAAGTGAAGTGAAGCTCATAAGTAATGTTCATCACAGGAATTTAGTTCGACTTCTCGGATGTTGTAGTAAAGGCCAAGAAAGAATCCTTGTTTATGAGTACATGGCAAACAACAGCCTTGACAGATTCTTGTTTGGTAAAAACTCATGTCAATCTTCCTATTGGATCAAATCACGTCTCGCCACATTAATATTTTCGGAGAAGTTTTAGGAATTAATATAACAAAGTGACATAACTGTGAAATATGATTGGATGCAGGTGAAAAGAAGGGTTCCCTTAATTGGATTCAAAGGTATGATATAATTTTAGGCACAGCAAGAGGTTTGGCCTATCTGCATGAAGATTTCCATGTTTGCATCATACATAGAGATATAAAGACTAACAACATCCTCTTGGATGATGATCTTCAACCTAAAATTGCTGATTTCGGTTTGGCAAGGCTTTTACCAGAAGATCAATCTCATCTTAGCACAAGATTTGCAGGAACATTGTAAGTCCAAAACTGTTAACTTCTATAAAGATTTATATAGCTGTAATAAATGAGACACATTTTAATATTAGATCTATGAATCACGGAAACAACACTGACACCGGACACAACTCTGACAAATGTAAATGTCTGTGTCAGAAACTGAGATGGACGCGTTTTTTTTTAAAGGTGTTAGTACTACAGAATGTTACATTCATATTCTATGTATAAATACTATTTTATTAACTATGGTTTAAAAATTGCGACCATGTCAGGGGATACACTGCACCAGAATACGCGATCCACGGTCAGTTATCAGTGAAGGCGGATACGTACAGTTTTGGTGTTGTAGTCCTAGAAATCATAAGTGGTCAAAAGAGTAGTGAGATAAGGGATGATGCTGATGGTGAATTCCTCCTTCAAAAGGTAAGAAATTTCACAAAATTTCGTAACAATCTTAGCGACTATTTGCTATCAGAAAACATTTAGATCTGTAGGTCTCATTTTCATTTTCACAGGCTTGGAAACTATATGAGGAAGAAAGACACTTGGAGTTAGTTGACAAGACATTGAACACTAGTGACTATGATGCACAAGAAGTGAAGAAAGTTATAGAGATTGCATTACTTTGCACTCAAGGAACAGCTGCTACAAGACCAACTATGTCTGAAATAGTAGTTCTACTCAAAAGCAAGAACTTTGTGGAGCATATGAAACCAACCATGCCTGTCTTTGTTAACACAAACTTAAGACCTCGGACAGATACCTCTACCTCAACTACTTCTTCAAAATCTAATGCTACTGTTTCCACTTCTATATTATCAGCTAGATGAAGATGTTGTATTGGAGCATGTTCTGTTAGAGTATTTGGGGTTTGAAGATGAAGTGAAGCCAAATAAAGAAAAAAAGTAAAGGATTATTCTCTATAAACTCTTAAAACATGTACATTTTTATATACAAATACCGAGTATATTGTGAAATAGTACAAATGAAATGCTATTTTATTTCTTTAAAGTGACTTATGGGTATATGGTAAAGAAGAAATTATTGGTTTGTGATGTAAAGGCCAAATGAATCAAACACATCAATTTATATATGTTTTTGTTCGTTATAATCTTTAGAAGTTGTCGGTACGTTCTATACTGCATAATCCTGTGTGGATATGATCCAGATTCTTTTATATGAACTAACACCTGGCGTGTTTTATATAAGTTAAACATGCAAAAACACCTCCGAATTATTTAATTCATTTCCACAACTTATAGCAAAATACATGTTTCACTTATATTTAACCATATAACATGAGAAAACAAAAAGATATTATAACTAAAAATACTAAAATAAAAAAACTATATAATAGTATAAGTCATCCATAATACATAAAAGATAATATCATTTATAAATAAATAACATTAAATGATTCTAAACAAAATACTTTTTCGTTCAAATTATAAGGCATTTTGAAACTTTCATGCAAATTAAAAAAACATAATTATTATTATATGAGAAATCAAATGATTCTAAACAAAATACTTTCTCCGTCTAAATTATAAGACATTTTGAAACTTTCACGCAAATTAAAAAACGGAATTATTGTTATATGGGAAACAAAATTATAGATGACTTTATAATATTATCATTTATTTATTATAGATAAAAGAAAATTTTAAAGAATTGGAAGAACAAATAATAGAGGGTATGTTAGAAAAAATCGTTAATGTTGCATTTAAATTGTAAAGTGACTTGTAATTTGTGAGAAATATGTTTTTAACAAAAAGACATAATTTGGGACAGAGTGAATGCATAATATAAAAATGTTGCAAACGAACCACTCTCTTTTCTCTTAAATCTCTTGAGCCACCAAACATTCTTAGTGTTGGGTCATCATTATGAGCATTCATATTTGGTCAAAAGCAACACATAAGTGAGAGAGACATCACATATTCATCCAAAATCTTAAGGTGATACTTGTATGGATTCTCTCACTTATAAAGTGTTCAACCTCCACTTTACTAAGCAATGTGGAACTTTCAAATCACACTTGTACACAACACTTAACGTATTTGAGAATCTTCTAGAAAACACTATGAATTGTAATGTCTTCCTCTACAACCCACTAAATTACCTGCATTGGCTTCCTTCTTTTTTGCATCCTCTTTCACTACTTCCTATTTAGTTGGTACTAACGACTCTCCTTCAAATGTGAGAACCACTTAGGGATGTGATATCATAAATATCATCTAATGTATTCCATTGTGTTTTTTATTTTTTTTCAGGCTTAAGTATTTCAGACAAAAGAAGAACCAAAATGAACAAAATGCGGGAAAAATATAAAAATCAATAATTCCCCATACATTGACCAGAGGGTTGCTACAGGGTTGTAACAATCGATGCCCTAGCCACAAAAATGTGCAAGCGCCTAGTATAAAAGCCAGGGGTCTGCTACGCGCGACCGTAACAGCTATTACGGGGCGTAGCAGGTGTTGCACCCCAAAATTTGACCAACATTTATTTATCCATCAAGTGTTTGAAAGTTGATACCTTCATCAGAAAGTTCAAGAGATCCTCAGAGGAATGGGTTGAAACCAAAGTTGTGTGTCTCCTAGCTTGAGAACTGTGGGAGCTCCTCAGAGGATTCTGAGACTGTGAGAATGAACTTAAAGCTTTGAGAAAGCCTATGAGATGTCTTGAAAGCCATCATGAAGCCCAGAGAGGTTATTATGCAAGAATTCAGAAGATTCAACCATGAATGGTAGAATTAGGGTTTTGACTGGGTCAATCCTAGGTTAACTGAAGATTTGGAGAAGGTTGAGACCTAATCCAAGGGCCATGAGATCATGGAATGATGTATGGAGATGTTATAAAGATGATTCCTAGACCAACTCATCATGATTGAGGAGTTTGAGAAGTTTTAAGTCAGGGTTTCTAAGGATTGTCAGTGAAAAAACCCTAGCTTGATCCCTATCTTCCAGGCAGTTTTAGCTCAAGATGTGATTGATATCTCATCTTCCCCACAACATGAATGTTGTAGATATTGTTCTTAGCTTTAATTTGAGTGGTAGAAGTCCTTGATAGGATTTGCAGAGCTCAAGTTATGGTTTTGACAAATTACAGGTCATCTGAGGTATGTGAATCTGGGTCCTTGAAAGTCACCCAACTTGCAGACAACTTTTTCCCTAGTAGGATGATTCCTATGATTTCTTGGTCAACATGAATGTTTAAGAGCATCTTCTTAGATTTCTATAGAGTACTAGAAGTCCTTTATAGGATTTGTAGAACTCAACTTATGGTTTGAACAAGACAGGGGTATTTTGGTCATTTGGTGATTATAGGTCATTTTAAGCAAAGGCCATATCTCCTATTTCCAAGCCTCAAATGAAAAAACTCAAAACATCAAAGTTGTTCAAAATGGGATTTTAAGCCTAGAAAAGTGGTCATGATTTATTGGAAAAGCTTGTAGCAAGGATTTTCAAGAATGGTTGAAAATGACCTAAAAATGACTTATAAAGTAAATGAATCCAAGTTGGAAATTGGTTTGGGAGATCCACAAATCCAAAATAGGTCATCCAATATGTCATTTTGAATCCAAACATCATTTTAAAAACAATGGTTCAAATAGATTTTTGATTTGAGGTCTTAAAATGGAGGTTACTTTGTAAAGTTCATGCTTGCATATTAAGGAACCATGAGAAACTTCACATAAGGCAAAGGCAATGCTTGTTTTTCCGCACATTACTTCTCAATATCTCTTGTAAGGAGATTTTAAAGCAAAATTAAGGGACTTAATGCATGAAAGGAGATAATACCACATATCACTACATGAGATTTTCCATGATTTTCTAGGGCATTCTAGATGAATCTAGACTCTTCCATTGGTTGTTATTTAAAGAGTGAATCACCATGAAGAAAAAGGTTGGTGAAAGTTGGTGAATCCATTGGTGAAGAGTGAGAGGAGAAAGAGATATTCAAGGTTTCCTTCAAGTGCAAGTCAAGCTCGATTTGATCTCTACAAGTCTCTTCCATCAGAATTCTTGCAAACAGAAAGATATCCACCATTGGAGGAGCATCTGGAGGAGATTACAAGTCTTGAATCAAGCCCTAACATCACTCACCATCACCATTTGACAGGTTGGTAACTTGCTCCATACCTCCTTAATTATGTGCATACTGCCAGAATTCTAGGTGTAAGGATAACATGCTAGGTTAGTTGATGATTTTCTGAGGATTTGAGAGAGATCAATGGAGTTTCATGGCAGGGTGCCATTTCTTTAATTTCCAAGAACAAGCGGTTCAGTGAGTGTTAGCACGCATGATATAGTATAGTCTGGTTAGGATAACGTGTAGAACAGGATTACATCACTGGATTTGAGTTCAATCAAGATTGATATCAGTAAATTAGGTTGGAACCCTAGGTTTTGCGCATTCTGTTGGGACGATACAAGGCGTTTCAGAGAAAGTTATGAGTATGGTCGTGTTCATGGTAATCAGTAGCACACTTTTGCCTTTGGAAGTTTGTGATTTCATTGAGTAATGAGGGAGCACGAACTTGAAGAAGAATCACGCATGGATTCTGTTTTGATGAAACCCTAGCATGTGTTTGGGGAAGACGATCCATTAGCCGTTGGATCACCCCTGGTTATTTGACTCATTAATCTGATCCAACGGTTCCAATTTAATTTCAGAAACGGAGGGAAAGAATAGAGCCAATACGCAGCGTTTAACTTAAATGAAGGTTTTGGGCCTCAGCAGAACTTGATATTAACACCCCACCCAGGAGCCCAATCAAAAAATGAACTAAAATTGCTTGTTATTCGTATCGTCTCCATTTTACTTTTCTTTTAATTTTCATTCTGAATTTTCTGATAGCGCATGGGCCTACCAATTGCTACGCGCACCCCTGGGTTCTTGGCCCACCATCATAAATAACTGGGCGTTCTACTGTTCTCACCCCCTCCCCTTTAATTCAATTTCTTTTATTTTTTTAACTTCTTTATATTTCTTGCATTTTATAAAAATCATATAAAATTGAAAATTGATTGTTTTTTAATGCTTGTTTTTTCTACATGTTCATAATTTTGTCTAGAAAAATATCAATAAATAAAATTGGCATTTTATTTCCTTTTAATATTTTTAGTATATTTTCCATGTAGATAGCTTTTTTTAATGTTTAGTTTGACACTCAATATTGTAGAATTTGTTTTAGGACCTTCCCTTAGGATTTTTGATCCATTCTTTTTGGCATAGTTAGATATTGAATCATAGTTCCTATAGGATTTAATTCATGATTTTTAGGTTAAAATTTGATTAGTTTGTTTAAGCTAGCATTGGTATAACAAAATTAGGGTTTTATTCAACATAAGTAGACTTAACAATTTTGTTTTGGGTTTTATAGGCCAAATTAGTGTATGGGGAATATGTGGGTTAAGGGTAGGTATGTATGGAATCCCCTAGAATTTTACTAGAATATTATATAGTATTTTAGTATTTTTAATTGATTTTTGAATGTATGGATAGTATGTGTGTTGCTTAAGGGCATAGTTTGTATTGTTTTGCTTTCTTTTCTTCTCCTTTGAGTGTGTGAGCCTTGAAGATTGAGTTGAAGACCTTGTGGATCATCATTGAAGACTTTGAAGACCTTGAAGAGGAGCTTAGTTTTAGCTTTTGTTTGTTCTGTTTATAAGATCATAAGTACATAGGTAGAGCTTTAGATAGAATAATTCCATTCAATAAACAAGGAGTGTCTTGTTCACCTCCTTCCTTCTCTATGATATAAAGTCCCTTAAGGGTATTCACCTCTCTCCTTTGGAGGGATTAGTGACCTTGCCCTATGAGG